ATTTAAATTACCCGAAAAGAATCTCTCTCTCTCTCCTCCTCTCTCTCTCTCTTCTCTCGGTTCTATCGACTGCCATAGTGTCCTTATCGAGAGGTAAGCGCAGTTCTCCGAGAAGGATCTCCATGACTGTGAAACTCGACCAACCGCGGGTTTGAGTACATTTTAAACCTTGGGTGCCTTTGTAAACAGACTCTCACCTCCTCTGTCCTATCCCGGATACTCTTGCTTTTTCATTCAATTTACTCGTATATCCCTTCTCGATTCTCTTCATAGTCGCGCGCAGAATTTTAATCTGCTTGAAACGGGCGCGGCGTTTCGCTCGGTACATTCTGTGCGGCTCACCGTATCACGTAATTATTCTAGGGCAAACAGTTACTTTACCATTCCTTGAAAAATATCAAATTTTTATATCAGAACACCATAGGATTTATTGAGAAAGTTATGATTAATAATAACGTATTAATATCTTTTAATGACATGATTGATGACATGATTAATGATGATTATCAAATTTCTATAATTTCATAATATTTGTTAAATAGAATATATGTTACTTTATCATTTTTAATAATTTTGTTATTACTTCCTTAAATTGAATCAATAAAATTTCGACTAAAACAGTGACATTTCATTAAAAATCAATAAGTATTGAATTTATTTTTAGTGCAAGTACTTTGTTCTTCTTTATAATCTATTTGTTCATTCTCTGCGGCCAATGGAAGGAAGATTTTATCTATGGTAAAAATAGTGATAATCAGCAAAATAATTTTTAAAGCTTTCTATATTTCGAATCACTATTTTAAGAGGTTGTCGTAATGGAATAAAATTCGTATTCAATTTCAAATTTCAATATTTCAATCCAGAATTATTATACTTTTTTATTCTTAAGCTTGTTGTTTATACTCTCTATTTCCAATAATCTAATCATTAATTGATCTATCATTAATTGATACCATAAATCAATTTTTCAATCTAAATGATATTTATAACTATTCTTTACTGATAATACTAATTCCGTTGAAGAAAGTAGGTTGAAAGTAGATCATATCGCAAAATATTCCAATTCTATATTTATACTTCGACAAAGGTACATTTTGTAATATACATATTTTTGATAGTTAAGCATCTTTTATATTGTTTCATAGAAAATATCAAAAAGAGGCTCAATATAAAGCTCTAAAAGATGTTTTCAATGTGAGAAAATTCAGTACATTCCATTGCAAGCATTGCAATGCCAACAAGTTGAAACTTCCGCCAAAAGTTTCTTTAACTAAAAGAGTTCTCTTACCTTTTTTTCTTGCGATAAGATTGATTGGCGACATTATGGATAATTCTATCAGCGAAATTTTATATCAAGTTTATTTTTTAAGTTTTCCAATGATAAGCTATAAATTATAATAAATATTGTAATAAATAATCTAAAAGAAAGAACTAAACTCTTTGAACTAAAACTATTACGTCCGAAATTTTTAAACAATTGTTTCTAACGTTCTGTTCAAAACTTATAAAATATAATAATCTATCTGGCTTGTGACATTTACAAAAAATATTATTCCTAAAATCTACATGGTAGATTTTTTATCCGTTGAATAAACGTTTCGCAAACAAGAGAAACTGGATCATGGCAAATGGATGTCAAAACAAGAGAAACTGGAATCGAAATATTTTTTCTATCACTAGAAAAGATATACAGAATATGTTATACAAAAATGTTATGTTTCCTGCTATACAAATATTATTGTCAATCAAAATCTTTAAGTAATTTTTAGAAAATATCTTTTATTTAATTTAAAAAAATTGTAATAAGAGTAACCCATAGAATAAAAAATTTATATTAAGTTTATATAGTCGTATATTTTTAGAAAAGATATATATTGAAATTGTTTGATCACTGATCGAATTTCTCCCATAAATCTGGATTTATTTCTAGAAAGGACAAACACCGATGCATTGTGCCTGCGCCGAGGAGCATTTGGAGGCAGTTGAAGTTCTCATAGGATTAGGGGCAAATGTAGATGCCCAGGATAACGATGGCAATACTCCGCTTCACGTAGCTACCAGAACGAGACACACAGGAATTGCGCAATTATTATTAAAAGCCGAAGCGAATACCGAGCTAATTGACGCGGTAAATTGAATAATTAAATGATTACGTCCACATATCCAATGGGTAGATAAAAAAAACGACTCGATGGGCGACCGAAATTGGTCATTATCATGGATAAAAATCCATATTTGCAATAATTGAACTTCGATATTAGAATTCTTTCATAGAATAATTGGAAGAGCAGCGTAATTCCTGCAGCGCGATTTTGCGTTTTTATTCAATAATAACTTTTCCATATTCCATCGGATGAATCGTAATTCGTAGAAACGAGATTCCATTGTATAATGACTGATCATTATTTCGTATCACGTATTATTATATTTTGTATGATTAACCTGTATCAACTATCTCCAGGAGGGCTTCACTCCTCTTCACGTCGCCGCAAGCCAAGGATGCAAAGGAATACTCGATTCCATGATTCAGCATGGAGCGGATATTAACAAGCAGTGTAAGGTACAGATACATCTCAATATTTCCAAATATATTCCGTGTGGAGACTGCTGCATGCATAACGATGGCTATCAATATTTTGTCGATACATTATTGCACATATAGAAATATCCACGTTCAATTGTCACCCAGTCACGCAATCGTGATGCATCAAATAAAATTGTTGACACAGAGAAAAAAAAACATAAAAGAATTTTTATTGGAGAAAAAAAAATGTATATTTCTCTCTTGTCTGTTGCAGAACGGTAACACACCTCTGCATCTGGCTTGCCAAAACAACGAAGTAGAAACGGTAGAGATATTAATTAATAAAGGCGTCGATCTCAACTGTTTGAATCTGGTACGTAAAATAGATTTTTGATACTGATCAAAGATTTTTAATACTGATCATTAGATTATTAGATTATTAGTATTGAAAAATAAAATACACAAACTTGTATACCGCAAATAACATTATGCATGTAAAACTCAATTTTCAGGCGAAAAATGAAATTTTTACAACGTATGCGATATTCTATAGTATAGAATAGCGTGTAATAGAATTGTTAAACTTTTCCGTTTTCTATCTGCTGATCTGCTTTAGAGATTGCAATCACCCATACATATCGCAGCAGAGATGGGACATACGGATATTTGTGAATTACTTCTTGCAGCAGGCGCAAATATTGAGCAAAAGGAACAGGTAAATATTATCCAACATGGTTTAAAGATAGAATTGGATATTATCATGTTACCCTTTGACGATATAATTAACCAAATCTATTTGTATTTCAAATATATTATCAATGCTTGACTAAATCATTTATGGACATTACCTCGTTATTGAATAAACACTGCTACGCCATGAATTTGGAGAACATTTGGAATTTGCACTACGATAGAATTGTAATTGAATATGAGTTATTCAATTATCAGTAATCAACTCAATTTTATTTATTAATTAATTACTGAATCCGCTTGACAAGTCAAATCGTAATTTTCGCGATGCAAAAGAAGCTTTCACAGATGCTAATAAATTAATTAAAGAGGGACATCTAATTAAATCTCCGTAAATCAAAGTATGATATGCTAAAATATTGTCATAAACTAACAAACTCACTACAGTATTGTCTCTATATTATTCCATTCTTTGATATGCTTTAATTAACAGGTCTGCTTTAATGATGACCTCCAATATTACAATGTTTTAAATCCAATCAAGATAAAGCTATGTCAAGACAATTAATAATAATCACTATTGTTTCATATGAACAAATCAAATTAATATCGATAATAAAATACAATAAATTACAAAAATATTGATAAAATTAATAAAAATATTTGCCGTAAAATAAAAAATTAGAAACTTGAGAATTTATATTAAATCATTCATCATTTATTAAATTTTAACATAAAATTAATCTAAGATAATTAATACAAAATTTTAACGACGTATGTTTCCTAAATACGTATTGTTTTTTGTTTTACGCGAGCATTACAGAAGACTAAAATTGCTATTAAAGATTCGATCTCACATCACATAAGTCCAATAATATAACATCCCACTCTTGATTAACACATTGGACGAAAAATCTGTCGCGTATACACGGTACGAGGGGAAAGGTCGATTCTGTCGACAATATGTGACACGTGTCACACTGAAAATTGACTCGCGCTATTTGCAGAAAGCTCCGAATTGAATGCCTTATTCCTGATCCAGCACGCGCTGCGGTTAAGGCGATAGGGGTGCCGGATTGACGGCAACCATCGCAAACTCGATAATAAAGTTAAACCAAAGTTTATCCTGACGTTTGCAGAGCGGCCGTACGCCACTTTACATCGCGGCGAGGGGCAGTTTCACGGCCATCGTCGACATGATCATTAAAACCGCCAGATTGGATTACCCGACCCCGGTAGGCATTCGTTCATCCGTACAAGTTACAAGACTTTCGTTTAACATCTT